CTTAAGTACGTTATGTCAGAAATTTACTTTTGATACTTAAGTACAAAAAAAATATCAGATACTTTAAGACTTTTACTTAAGTAATATACTTAGAGGGGACTTTAACTTTTACCAAAGTAATTTTATGGTAAGATACTTTTACTTTTACTCAAGTATCACTTTGTGGTACTTTATACATGACTACCTAAAAGGCACAGGCAGCCAGTGGAGTGAGGCTAAAATGGGAGAAATGTGCTCATATTTACGTGTGCCGATTAAAAGTTAACTAGCATTTGGCTAACTGATATTAATATCAAAACAAACAAGTCATAACTTACTTTATATTTACAAAAAGGATAAAACGTGTTTTTTTCAAATCTGCAGTTTCCCCAGAAAAAATGAAAAACATTTTATTTCAGTTCTTGTTTTGGTAACTTGACCCACAAAGTTGTTGATCTGACTGCTTTCACATAAATCCATGTGCAGTAAAATCTGTACACTGCACCCCCCAACCTGCTCAGGCTCAGCCTGCTGGCCAGCAGCTTCCAGCCTCAGCTCCCCACCATTACAGCTAATTTGCCTGCTGCCATTGCTCTTGTCCTCGCCATCCACTGAGCAGCATTATGGATAAATGTTTTGTTTCCATGGCATCAGGTTCTGGTTGCCCTTGGTAGCTCCTTCGGCTGGCTGGCCCGCGATTATTATGCCTTTCATAACCAGCAATTACAAAAAAAAAAGGGCCTACATCTCAAAGCCTACAAAATACATAATGGCCTACAATAACACATAATTGGTGTAATTGTGGTTGTCATTACACCTCCATCAAGCACTCGTATGGAGGCTTCTGGATGCAGTTGTACACTGCAGCCAACAAAGAAACACAAAGGAGGAGTTCAACGTCAAACACGAGCAAAAGCAACTGTTTGCTACTCCTTCCTGCAGCCACGGCCTTTTCCTGCTTCCGTTCTTAAATTATCTTTATGGCATTTATACGCGGCGGTAATAGTGTTGTTTTTTTTACAAAATGGATTATTTTGATCAGATCCCAACACATAGATGGAAAATCAAAGTAAAATCAAAGTTAATGACTGTTACTCTGATTCTATGATAAAAACTAATAAATAATTGTATTTTTACATAATAAAAGTAACGTTCAAAAGCGCTTTTCACAATAGATTTTAGTTTGTAAAGAAA